CCTGAGGGATCTCAGCTCATCAGTGGATTGATCTTTTGAGTTCAGAACTGGGGGGCCATGAGGAGGTGGGCCCAGGTGGAGAGAGTAGGTCATGGAGGAAGGAGGGGAGGAGACATGTTTGAGCATATCTTGCCTTTCCCCATGCTCTTGCTCTCTGATTGCCTTCTCTTTGAGATGAAGTATCCTGCTTTCCTGTGCCATGCTTTTCCACCATGTGATTCTGCCTTGAAGTTGGCTACAGCCATGAACCAAGACATCTGAAATCAAGAGCCCAAATCAATCTTTGCTCCTTTAAGCCATGGAAGTCAGGTATTTAGTTTCAGGAATGCAAAGCTGACTAATACAACCCCAGAGAAGTGGGATTGTTGGCTGTGATGATGGGATGGCCGGTGATGTGATTCAGAAGCCTTCAGTTTGTGGAAGTAATTTGGAAAGGTTTAGAAACCCATGCTAGAGAAGCTCTAGAATATGGTAAGTGGAAGTGAATGGACAATCTTGAGGGGGAGTTTAGAGGACCAGAATGCCCATAGAATGAGAACGGATTATGTTCCTCAATTTCCACATGCGGAGAAGGATATTACTAGAAGTCAAACTAGAGGCCATTCATGTTACATTCTGGCAAAGCAATTGTCTATATTTTATCCATGCATTAAAAATTTGCAGGAGGCTCAAAGGTGATGAACTAGTTTACCTAGTGGCAGAAGTGTCAAGGCAGTACAGCTCTCAGACCGTGTCACAGTAGGGATCCACTGACAAGTTCAGTGGCTGAGTGTGATGTCAGGGGCTGGGTCCTGGTGTTATTCTTGGCCCTGGCTTCTCTGTTCTGTTTTCCTTCCTGGCTAGTGAGAGCTGGGAACCCTTTCCTCCACTATTTTCTTCCTGAGGCCATCTCTGCATCCAATGGTGGCCTGGAAACATGACATGAAAGAAACCTTCCTTCTTTTAGTTGTGGATGACAGTACTGTCTCAGAGTTGTGAAAGTGACTTCTACAGCGCAGGAGGGTGATATGTGACAGACTCCCTGCAGGAGCCACTGAGAGGTTGATGTGTGAAGCCATGTGAAAGAGGCCAAAGCTTCGATGGAGACCCCTAAACCTGAAAATGCTAGGAATGTGGAATGTGGGCCAAGGGATGATGTGGGTAAGGAACCCAGCCAGCTCTAGAGAGAGGCTATGTGGCTGCAGCTGGCAAATCATAGAGGCGGAACCACACAATACCTTTGGGGTTCATGTACTGTCACCTTGTGCACAGATGCCGGTCATGGAGTTCCCAGATTTAATGTTTGCCTTGCCAGAGTTTTGTCCTACTTCCATCCAATTCTTTTCTGCCCCATATTCAACCCTTTTGCTGTGAGAGTGTTGATACTAGGTATCAAGTTTACTGGCTATTTTACATTGGGAGTGTGTATTACACATCTGGAATCTTACAGGGGTTCACAGGTAAGAGTTGCTTTAAGTCTCAGAGGAGGCTTTGGACGTGGGCTTTTGAGAAATGCTGAGAACTTTTGAGAGGTTAGCAACACTTTGTCATAGACTAAATTCATTTTCCATAACAAAACGCACAAGAGGCCTTGGGGGCCAGGAGAAGAATGTTACATTTTGGATAAATGTGATCTTCAAATGGCTTATGTGTTCAGGGAGGGGGCGGCATTGGGAGGTGATTAGATAATGTGGCACTGATCTCATCAATGGATTGATTCACCAGTGAGGTCATCACAGAATGGGTGACTAGAGAGGGCAGGCCCTAGGTGGAGGGAAGGGCCCTTGGGTATGCCTTTGGAAGGTTTCTCTTTCTTGCCATTACTGTTTCCTAGCTGCTGTGAGGCAAACCTCTGAAACCAAGAGCCAAAATAAACTTTCTCCTTCAAACTGTGTGTGCCATCATTTTGTTCTGCAACACAAAGCTGTGGTCCCAATTAAGTCTGTCTCTGAATCTTAGTGCCGCATAACTGGGAATAGCAGTGTCTGAGGAAGGGTAAGAAATGCTTGGCTACCTTCTGTGGTCTCCCCACATTCTGTCCACAGCTGAATGCAGCACTCTATGAAAATTCTATCCCAAGTGTCTGACTTAGTGTATCAACTGTTTCCTGCTGGGATGCTGATATTTCAATGCACTGAAAGTATAAGCAAAACCATGATAATGGATGTATCCCTACACAGTGAGGCACACAGTCACATCTGCAATGACATTGTCTCCACCCTTCCCTCATCACCACTCCCCTGTTCTACTCCAGCCAAACTGTTTCCTCGGGGTAGGTTCTTGCATGGCAAGATAGCTGTTACCATCCCATTTATTAGTATCTGTCCAAATGCCTTTTATATGAGTACCTTTCCTCTCCTGCTCTGTGAATGGTAAGTTTTCAGACCCTTCACCTCTTGTAACAGAAGATCCGTTACCAATTTGTTAGTTTCCCAGGTAATACTTCTGGTTACAGCTGGTCACTGCGAAGCATAGCTGGTCATTACGATGCATATTGTGAGATCCAGTACCCAGTTTACAATGCATTCTGCCTTGAACTTCCTTCTTTCTTATCCCATATAAGCCCTAGACCACTAGATATCAGGACCTGATATTTTGGGGATGATCCCAATGAGTGCCTGCTGACTTAAATAAATCTGTCTTCAAATACTGGGTGTTGTTCTGGTGTTTTTGGCTGCTGTAGCATCTGGTGCATCAGCTGGGAAGATCAAGCATGTTGACCTCTTTGGTCACCTGTAATGGCCCTCTTGCATGGAGCAAGGACCTCTCCAGGTCTTGACAGGAAAGTGCATCTTGAAGATTTTTTGAGTCCTCTCAGAGGTCGGGATACCTGGCTTCATATTTGAATGGGTCACATAGCACCCCAAGGGGAGGAGGATGCAGTCTGTTTGTCTGTCTGTGTATTCTAATGTGATCCTTGACAGCATTATTCTGTAAGTCCTGCTCAGCTTGAGCAGAAGGGGAGTCTAATCAATTCTCCTGAGGGAAAGGGTTAGAATGTTTAACTTGTGAGTGCCTGTTGAAGGAGTGTGTGAGTGAGTGGAATGGACACTAAGCAAAAATGTATGAATGAAAGTCCTCCCGAGGTGCATTTAAGAAAAGGCAGGATGGTGCTGGGCTTACTGAGCGAGGCCAGATTCCTTTGGTTTTCCAGCATCACCTCCCTGTACAGTGATGCTGGGGATCCCTGGAGGAAGAGCAATGCCCACTCCTCCTGGTAGAAGTCCATGTCTGCAAGCTGAAAGGTCCCCAGGTCTTAAACCATTGAAAACCTCATGGCTCCATCCAGTACCCTCCATTATGGACAGGGAGGGGGCACAAGCTGACAGAGCCAGGGAAGAAAGTACAGAGGACAGGATGTGTGGAAGGGCTTAGCACTTCAGCCTTAGGGCGCAGACTTCAGTGCTCACCTCCTGTCTACTTGTGTTGCTTCGAAGATCCAGTGTGATGCTATGCAGGGCATCTCTCCTGGTCATATTGGAGGCTCCAGGAATCCAACAACCTTCAAGCAACAGAGTTGAGCACAGTCCAGAGACAATGCAAAGACAGCAGAAACATTTAGTAAATGAATGATGATTTGGAAGAGCTTAGACTCACCTGCAACCAGCATGTCAGGAGCTCACTGATGAGTCTCCTTCCTGCTCCATGCTTTCTCATCAGAGGCTGGGCACAGGGAGGACTGAGCTGTGGAGGAAGAAATAAATCACAAGAATCCAGGTTATCCCACATTGTGACAGGCTGGAGCCTTCTCCCCCCAGTCTGATTGTACAAAGCCCAACTAGTACATAAACAACACATGCACATACCATGCACACTCACAGCACACATGTCCTCCTTATGCAGACACTTACAGATTCCATGAGAAACCAGGGTCCATCTCATCCCAGCCAGAATACAAGGCTCAAGGCTCTGGCTGACTATGCCTAATTCACAGATGAGGAAAGTGAGATTGTCAAGGAATCATTTTTTATCAGATTTACAGAAGTATTAAGTGTCATTCTCCCACACAGGTGACACTCAGGACAAACCGTAAACCTCCAAGTCCCAAACTGCAAAAGCTGCCCATCAGACCAAGGATCTTGGGTTCCCAAAATCCACTCTCACTATATCCAGGATCCCATCCCTGTGCCTCTGTATGGGCAGGGCTCCCAGGACTCCATGATGCCAGCCTTCAATCTGAGATCTGCTTGTCTTTAAATTTGAGACAGGGTGTGACCAAGATGCCCTGGCTGGGTTTTGACTTGTGATTCTCTTGTCACCTACAAGCTCGCATTACAGATCTAGGTCACTACTGTTGGCCTCAGTTACTACTTTAAAAAGAAAAATTACTGAGTTAAGGTGTAAGAAGTGCTCAGCCTTGACTGGATTTATCCAATTTCGATTTCCATCTGGCCATCTGCCAGCTCATTTGGCTGGAGACAGATTTTATGCTCTCATCAGACTCTGCAACCTTGTCATGACGAGATCCGGTACTGAATGCTAAACAGTTCCTACAGTTCATTTAGGACTCCAGACTCAGGCCAGGGGACCCTTTCACGGGGACAATGCAAACAGCTGAGTGGCATGTTGCTTGCTCCCCATGACAGGCCTTCCTCTTCCGGTTCTGCGCAGAAGCGTTTATGTCTCAGCTTGCGGTCTCGCTCTGTCTGTGGCAGTTAGGGAGAGGGGAGGTGTCGCGTGTGGGGACGGAGGCGGGTCAACGGCCGAGCAGCTGTTCTCAGGGGCCAGAAGTTTCAGTTGGCTTAGTGGATTCAAGACGGGCCCCCCACTGGGTAGACATGGAGTTGGGGGAGAGGCCCAGGGCCAGCAATCGGGTTTTGGGGTGTTGACTGAGCATGGATGAGAGGGCGGGAACTGAGATATTTGCAGGACTAGTTCTGGGGTCCGGGGGCGGTGCCAGCTGTGGTCCAGATACCAGGGTTACTGGGTTAACGTGTAGTAAATGTGGACAGCGTGATGGGCCTGGGATGGGGTTGGGTTCAGAGGCTTGGCGGTGAGACTCTCAGAGTAGGCCAGACTGCACTAGATTTATCAGATAGCGGGATGGGAACAAATCCTAAACTTTACTTCTGTCCCTGTCCTCGTTCACACACCCTGTGGAGCAAGACAGGCTTTCAGGGCTTTTCTATGTATGAATTTTTAATCCTTTTAATTGCTTTCAGAAATGGATCATCTAGACATCTTACCAACTTTTTTCCTGGAGCCAGTAGGTAAGCATCTAATTACCTCTTACACTAAGATTCTTTGTTTTGGAGGAGCTGCCCTAGACTATACATAAATATATAGGAAAGGTTCAATTTTACAAGTCAGTAAAATAGCCTCATTCCTACTCCTGTTTCTCAGTCGGTGTGCTCAGGTATAAACTATCATTTTCCCCTGTGTCTCTCCAGGTGCAGAGAGAGATTGTGTGTGTGTGTGTGTGTGAGAATGTTAGAGTCATTCATTTAGTAAATCCTGCTGGACACCTCCGTAATCACTGTTTTAGGTGCTGTGGGTATTACCTGGATGAAACAAAGTTCCCTGCCCTGACGTAACTTGAATTTCACTTGGGAGGCTGAGGACGGATGCACAGGAACTAGAATTCCTGACATTCAAGGCACTTGTGAGCACAAGGGGGAAAGAGGAAAGGGCCTGAGAACAGTCTCAAGCGATCTTCCCCTTGGCTGCTGCTCCCCGCTTATTTATCACACTGGGCCTCTCCTCTCCTTGTCACCTGTGCCCTTGTCACACACATTGCCAGCCACAGCCTGTCCTCCTTCAGTACACAGCATCTGCTCTGATTGTGGGCACTCAGGACGGCTGCAGGGTGTCGTGTCCTTGGATTTGGGAGCTTGGAAGCCACAGCAGCTGCACGGGTGAGTGCTTTGCTCATTTTCACTGCCCAGCTCCTGTCTGGGATCTGTGGTGTGGGAAACTTCACAAGCATGGATGCCCCGGAAATGGAGGTCCAGGAAAGGAGTTGCTGATTGCATCTGAAATGACTTTTAGATTCTGAACAGGGAAAACTGGCATCTTTTTCAGGTCTTCCCAATTTTGAATGTGATACAGCCACTAACTGACTCAGTTCTTTCTACAGAAAGCCTTTTGACATGTGATTCTCATGAAATGCGCTGCATTTCATTTAGGTTTATTACTAGGCAGTTTATGTATATTTAGCTTTAATTTTTCTCTTCTCCTTACCCCTGATTTTTTTGGTGGTTTTGTTTTGGGGGAGTTTTGAGACAAGGGTCTTACTGTGGAGTGGAGACTATCCTGGAATTCACTATGTAGCCAGGCTTATCTGAAGCTCCTGGTCCTCCTGCTTCACCTTCCTGGGTTATGGCCATTCACCATCAAGCCTGGCTTATTTATTTCCTCTTTCAATTTTTTGATAAGATTTTTGTATGCAAGGAAGAATTGTGTGAGAATTTTACAGAAGAATCCTGGATAGAACTCCAGTCTATATGTGAATAAAGCTTGCCCAGTATTCACATTTTCCCCATTTACTTTGTAGTCACACTTTATATTCTCACTTTATACATACCTATACCATGGGCATTATGTTCACAATCTCCCTTACATATGGCTTTCATAATAAAAAGGGTAATTTTCTTACAGTAATTAACAGAATCTGGAAGTCTGTCTTTTGCAGTGCTATTATCTCACACAAAGCCCACATTCACAATTCATTGATTTTCACAAAGACCTCTTCTATAGCTTCATTTTTCATGTGCCAGGTTCTGGTCCAGGATCATGTCTTGGATTTAGTTGTTGAATTCCTTCAGTACTGATCTGGAAGTTTTTCAGGTTTTTTCTCTCATGTAATTACCATTTTTGAACCAGGAAGACCAGATATTTTGTAGAATGTTTTAGGATATTGATGAAGCTGGTACTTCTTCTGGCAAGATGCAAGTTTGATATATGTGTGTATACTTCATGTATAGGCATATGTATACATAGCACCATGTGAAAATGTGCACACACACATATATGTATATATTAACATGGAGAGATACTGGTATGTAGCTATATATTTAAATGTTTATGTATATACATATGGTTGGCGTAATTTGCATGCTTTAAAATTTATATTAAAAACTATGACTTGATACCTTGAATTAAAATCCAACAACACAAATCATTCTAAGTCCTTTGTCTTTCCCATCTCGCACAATTTTCTCTAAGAGTGATAATCGTGGGTGTTAATACACTTAAGACTCTTCAGTTTCACCATGAGTGAAAAATAGTTTCATTGGGCCAAGTCACTTTTTAAAGTTTGTATTTTTATTGGTGCAAGCTTGCAGTATACAATGATTACGATCATTGTAGGGAATTGGTATATGTATATAACATATCCCAATTTTTATCCTCTTCTAGCCCTCTTTAAAAAATTTTTCAGCATTTCATTTATCCAGATAAGCATGAAGTGAAATATCATAAATACATATTAATTATCATTAGTACAGATATCAAGTTAATTATAAATAAAGATTAAGAGTCATACTAATGGGCACAAACACATATAAAGCCACTATACTAAATCATGGTACACACTTAGATATTGTTATTGTTGATCCTAATACTTTTTCTCTCTTTTTTCTATTTTATTTTGTATTTTATTTATGTATTGAGTTGCCTAGATGAGAGAAGGGGTATTTAAACCTGTGTGTCTGGTTTACTTCACTTAACATTGTGGTCTGAACTTAATGTACAGGACTGATTCCTAAAAGCTGTAAAGGATGGAAAGGGAGGGTGGATAAAGGGGGCTGGATCTGATCAGTGCATGCTGCATGCATGTGTTGAAATATCACACTGAGTCCAATTGGTAGGTGCCACTCATGTTAATAAGAACACTAAAAATATAAAACTCAGAGGCAAATGAAACGTTGTTAAATTTTTATTGATGCCTAATGGCATATCTTTATGGGCACCACGTGATGAACTGATGTTTGTTCACCTTGTGTAATGAACAGAACAGGTGGTCAGTGTATTGATCACCCAGTGCACCAATATTTTCTTATGCTTAACTTTATGAAAAGCTCTCTGCTAGCTGCTCTGGAGTGTAAGGTGCTCCATTCATAATAGCTCTGTTTATCCTGATGTGCCGGTAGAGCCCTAGTGCACATTTCTCCTGTCTACTTGTAACCTTGTGCTTTTTGGTCATTCCTGCCTGGTCCTGCCTTCCTCTCTTTCCTTCTCAGGAAAGATAACCACTGTTATTCTTGGGACTTCTCTATAGTTACTTTGCTTTTCCTTTTTTTTTGGTGAGATCATGTGGTTTTTGTCTTTCTTTAACTTACTTTGCTTAGTTTCTTCCAGTTGAATGCACATTATTGCAAAAGGTGAGATTCCATATCATGTTTAAAAAGTCACTGAGCAAGACTTCATTATGTATTTATAAAGCACACTGTTTCCTTGTATTCCTCTGTTGAGTGAATGTGGAACTTTGATAGATTTTAAAGCTTGGCTCTCATGATTATAACTGCTATTAGGTTGCATGCTCAGATATACTTTTTAAAATAATGATGTTATTATTTATTGAAAGATATCCAGTTGAGAAATAGGGAAATAATGATCAGGTTATATGGGACATAATTTTGATTAAGTCTAGCTATGTCATATTTCTGATTTAGACTTTGCATTCAGAGAATTCTATACAGGAAGCAGGGGCAGGGAACATATTTTTCTTTACATCCACCCTCTTGATAAAGCAAGGTAGTGGCAGAACCATTTTATTTGGAATCATTTTGTTCCCTTTGAATACATAACACTTCTAATGTTAAGAAATCAAGTCTCAGACTAGGAAATTTGCAGTGTTATTTCTACTGTGCTGCACTCATTATCGATCCTGTAGTTGGACCTGGCTTTCTTCCTATCCATGTTTGGAAGTTTTCCATCACAAGAGGTTGAGCCAAGACAATGTTCTGAGCCATGGGATTGAGGTAGTGAAATAACCTGAAGTAGCACACTGTCCAGGCGTCCACTGATTTATCTGAAGGCTGTTTTTTCTCTTTTGAAGTGTCTTAAGTGTGTCATCAGATGCCTGAGACATAGCAGATGTAATCTGAGGAGTCACAGTGTGTCCAAGCCCTCGGTTAGTGACCCCTGCGTGGAGATGGCAGGGAAAAGGCAATGAGAATCGCACTCATGATGACAATGACAACAAACTTTCCTTTTGGTCTTGTTCCTCAGGAGTGATACTTTCCTGTGACATTCCCTGGCTGTCTGCTCAACATGCCCTCTTGTTCAGAAACATCTGCACTAACTGAAACATCCCTCACAGTGAGAAAAGGATCAAACATGAGCCTGGTGCTTCCCGGACACATGGTTTCTTTGAGGACCTGTGGTGGTGAGCATTAACTGCAATGGGCATCTCAGTACAGATAACAGAGTCCCAGAGTCCTGTGACCAAGCCTATACAAGTTACGATTGCTCTGCATGGATTCCAGAAACAACACGAACTTTTACCAGTAAAGCAGTAACTATGGATTCTAACAGCAAACAGAACAGATCAGCTTTGCCAGGAGAAATTTATTATACGCTGGCTTAGATTGGTCTTCTGTTAGTGCTTCCCAAAACAGTAAGAGGCAATAAATAGTAAGGAGTGCTAAACTATTGTTATCACCAGATACGTGTGTGCATTTTAAGTCCAAAGCTGCTGATTCATGTATGTCAAGTAATTGACAGATGGAAGTGTTTATGGTAGTGAATTGTCAGACCCCTGTGTATTGCAGTTTGCACCCTGTTTGCACTCAAAGAGCAATGCTTCTCCCATAGGCCATAGTGAGCAGTTGCATAAAGGAGGGGAATGCGTGTGCTCATCTTTGGCTTCTAGGACTAATAACAGATCTGAGTACCAGATAGTTGGTAAAAAATCTTTTAAGTTGCAAAATCACATAAGCTTCGTAACGTTCTCTAAATGTATATTGCAGTTTTGGGTACGTTAAAGGTACTCAACTATCTATACCGCCTACAGGAACCTTCCAATAGATCCTTATGACTGATTTTATGTGGAATGCAGTTAATGTTGCAGTATTGTCCACAACAATGTAGATCTAGTCAACAGTAAAAAGATTCCAGCAATAAACAGGCCTTGTGTGTAATCCAACCTCTAGCTTTTCAGTTCCCACATGCACAGGGAAATTGCGGTGACTCCAGGCTCCAGGTGGATGACCACTGCTGAAGGTCAGTCAGATCCATGGCCTCTGCACCTTTCAGATACACATGCAAGGAATGATTTGTCACACGGAAACTCTGAGTTGCAAGGAAAGGAAAGTTGATGAAGAAGGTAAAGGGAGCCGTTCATTCCCCTGTTTCCTTACCGTGCACACAACTGAGAAAGAACAGGTGGGCTTTCCCCACTGAAGGCTTCTCCAGTGAAGCTGTGATTCTGCTGCTGTGATGCTGGGCACTCAGGGTGCTTGGATGGAGCAGTGGGGGCAGCATCATTTCTTCCTTAACATGCATCTGTCCAGTGCAATGGGAGTGGAGCCATGGACAGGCCACTGCCTTCACCTGGGGCTCACACAAAGATCTAGCAGCAAACCCTGGAGGAGAACTGTGCCTTTGGGTATCAGCCTCTAGAGACCCTGCACACTGTGTTCTGCCCTGAAGCTGTCTGCCTGCTCTGCCTGCTCTGCCTCTTCTTTGTGAATCAAGCTTCCTGACACCTGCACTCCAAGGCATCTCTTCCCCTGACTCTGTTTATGGATGGGACCCCAGGAGTTCCTCACTCAGAAAGGACATCCCCCTGGGAAAAATCCAAGGCCATCCCATGTATGTCTCAGATGCTCTTTGTACTGATTTCATTTCCTTTGGATGTATTCCCAAATGTAGGGTTGCCAGTAAAGGATGACAATATTTTTCTGTATTTAGAGAAACTGCCCCACCATTTTCCATGTTGCCAGTTCTCATTCATTGCCATTTCCATTCTCAAATTGTAAATTTCTGTGACATTAGGTATAACAAGCTTTAGTTGTGAAATGGAAAGCATGAAAAACAAAGGAATAAGAATATTAACTGTATTAAAAGCTTTTATGTATCAAAGGACAATATCATCATAGTGCAAATATGTCCTACAACAAGTGGGAAGATGGGAAGGGGACCGGGAGCTGGAAGTAGCAAGGTTGGGTGGCGGGGTGAGGGATGAAAAAAGATGTGTCCCATGCATGTGTCAACTGCCCACCGTGAGTGTAATCATTATGTACTGCAAGTGTATACAAATAAAATGAATTCCAATAATGGAAGAAAACTTGTGCAAGTCATGTTGCAGAAAGCGCTCATATCCAAAATATGTAAATGACAATGAAAGGACAAACAAGACATTGACATAGGTAGAGAAATCGGGTAGTTCTAAAGGTATTTTCATGAGGCTAAATGTGCACAGGAAGCTTCAAAACACTACTAGTAATCAAATAGGTGCAGGGAGAAAACCACAATTAGGTCACAGTTCATGCACACTAGGGAGTCCTGAGTAATGAAAATGTGAAGTAAGCCTAGTACCAGAGAGGATGTGGAGAAGTTGGGGCCTTCATACAGTGCTGATTGGAATGTAAACCGATGCGGTCAATGTGGGAAGAGATCAGAAGTTGAACACAGGGCAGCAGGGCAGCAGGCCATCTGAAGCTGCTGTCTGCCTCGGGGAGGTTGGTGTGGTAAAGGTTTAAGGAGAAGCTGCACCTCAAAGCCAGGTCCCTCTCACCAAGTTTTGGGCACTGTGGGCTCCAGAGTGAGTGCAGATGGAGGCATAACAGCAAACTTCCAGAAAGACAACCCTCAACTTGTTTATAAAGGTGGAAACTAAAGATGTTTTGAATTATCTGAGAAACATAAATTCTGTAACCAGGATTATGTTTTTTGACACTTTCAAAAAGTCAAATGATTAAATGCACACATGCCCTAGTGTTGAGAAAAACCTGTAAGCACCGCTCTATGAAACATCACACACACCCACACTCTCACACACACACATTCCTCTTCCCATTGAGTGCTAATACCATTCTGGCATATGGTAGAAACTTCACCAGCCTAATATTGAGTGCAGTATTCTTTTCCTGATGCATATTCAAGAGAGATAAACAGATGCATTCTATAAATTCCTGAAAAATATTTACAATGGGTTCCTTAGAGCTCCTCAGAGGTGACAACAAATTGGTTTCCTATTCTAGGATGAGTGCAGACAGTATGGTATTCTGGGAGGAATACTGCTCAGGCATAAGAAGTAATGAAAGGTGTCTACTGTCCTGCGGGTGATCTTCAAACTTAACAAGTGAGTGAAATGAGAATAATAGGTCACGTGTTATTTCATTTCTTGAAGCCATCAAAGAGGTACATCCACATAAACAGAATGAGACAGATGACTACATAATCTGATGCTGGGGACTTACATAAATACCTACATTAATAACTATGTCGTGGGAACAGAGATTGTTACAAGGTGATGAAAATATTTTTTCATTTGATGGGACGATTCCAGACATTTGTGAATGGAATCTATGCAGTATGCATGTGAGTATATAATTGCCAGAGATTTGTTCCCTACGAGGTAGTTCATATTTATTCTGTTAGTTACACTTCAATCAGAAACCATTATCTCAAGTATGGACGTGGAAAAAGGAAAAACTATAGCCAAAGCAGAGTCACAATATGTAAGGTGTTAGTAGAACACATGGTTTCATTTTAAATTTTTATTAGTGCATGCTTGTAGTGTATGATCTTTAATTCCTTGTGTGGAATTGTATAGGAACATAACACGTCTTAATTCTTTTTTCTTCCCTTTCCCACTCCCCCACGGTCTCTGGACCCCTTTCAGTCTCACAGAGATCCATCTCCTACTTCCTATTACCTAATTTTTTGTTCTTTTTATTTTTAAAATAATTATTTTAAAGAGATTAAGACATAAGAGGACATAAGAAGGCTGATCAGAAGAGAACAATGTAAGCAACGCAACATTTTACCACAAGACAACCTGTAATTAACAGTAACTACCATAATGTCTCTTTCTTTGAAACAGTTTAGTGTAACTTCATGTACAATAGAATCAAACATAACAAAGTAGTATAACACCATTCAAGAGAAGGCAAGTATTACAGGGCATTTACAACCAAATAACAGAAAATGAACAATGGCTGCTATATTATCTCATTTTCCATAGAATTTGTTTATATTATCAAACACAATATAATCCAGTAAGATACAACATGATAGAACCAATGGAAAAAGAAGAACAAAAGCATGGTAGGACTTCAGAGCAAGATGATATTAAGTCAGCACTGGCTATTATAATGTCTTCTTTAAAACAGCTGTTCATACCATCACAGGTAATAAAATCAAACACACGAGGGTAAAACCATTCCAACTAATGAATGCAAACATTATAACGCTTCAAAGCAATATAATGGAGAATCATGATTACCATAAAGTCTTGTATACTCTTAGCATTTCTCACCCTAGGGAGACTATATAGTATTTATACATATGAGTTTGATGTATTTTGCTTATAAGTATGGTCTCAGATTGGTCCTTTTACTTATAAATATCTCAATGTGATAATTTTTATAGCTGAGCAATACTTCATTGTATAAAAATACTACAAGTTTTTTAATCCATTCCTCAATTGATGGACATTTAAGTTGTTTCCAAGATCTGGCTCTTACAAATTGTGCTGCTATAAACATGGGTGCACATTATATCACTGTGGTATGATGTTTTCAGTTCTTCTGGGAATATACCTAGAAGTGGAATAGCTGGAAAAAGTGGGACTTCCGCTGGGCAGGCCTGCAGTGGCCTCCCTGCTCCCAGTGGTGCTTGGCGGACTCTCTCTTGTCTAATTGCTCTGGCTAGTATTTCCAGTACTATATTAAATAGGAATGGTAATAAGGGACATCCTTGTCTTGTGCCTGATTTTAAAGTAAAGGCCTTGAATTTTTGGCCATTTAGTATGATACTGGCTGTTTGTTTGTCATAGATAGCCTTTATTACATTGATATAAAGACCATCTATTCCAATTTTCTGTAAAGTTCTTATCATAAAATAATGATTGACCTTATCACATGTTTTTTCTGCATCTATTGAAATGATCATGATTTTTACTTTTTGCTTTATTGATATCATGTATTACATTTATTGACTTTCATATGTTGAACCATCTCTGCATGCCTGAGATGAATCCCACTTGGTCATGGTTTATAATCTTCTTAATGATTTGCTGCATACTATTTGCCAATATTTCATTTAGGACTTTTGCATCTGTTTTCATTAGGGAGATTGGACAGTAGTTCGCTTTTTTATTTGGATCTTTCTGTAGCTTTGGTACTAGAGTAGTATTTGCTCTCAGGAATGACTTAGGAAAGATTGATTCCCTTTCAGTTTCATTGAAGAGTTTGAGGAGTTTTGGCATTAGGTCTTCTTCGTATTTCTTGTGGAATTGTGCAGTGAATCTGTTTGGGCCTCACCTCTTATTTGTAGGTAATGACTTAATTACACTTTCAATTTAAATGATAGAAATTGGGTTATTCAACAGTTTTACATCCTCTTGATCTAGCTTTGGTACTTCATATGTTTCTAGGAATCTCTCTATTTCTTCTGTGTTATCAAACCTTTGAGAGTAGAAGTTTTCAAAATAGGTGTTGATGATCTTCTGTATTACTATAGAGTCTATAGTGATTTTGCCTTTTTCCTTTCTTATTGCATGAATTTGAGCTTTCTCTTCCCTTTTTAAAATAAGGTTGGCCAGGCACTTATCAATTTTGTTTATTCTTTCAAAGAACCTACTCTTTTATTCATTGAGTCTTTGGATTGTTTTCTTAGTTTCCATTGCATTGATTTCTGCTCTGATTTGCATAATTTCCTCTTTTCTTTTTGCTTTGGGCTTGACTTGCTCGTCTTTTTCTAGACGCTTGAGGTTTAACATCTGGTAAATTATTTGTATTCATTCTGTTTTCCTGATGTTCTAACTCAGTACAATAAATTTTCCTCTGAGGATGGCTTTCATTGCACCCCACAGATTCTGGTAAGCTGTATTTGTGTTTTTGTTTGCTTGTGGATATTGTTTAATTTCTTCTTTAATTTCCCCTGTGACCGACTGATTATTCAAGAGTGTGTTATTTAGTTTCCATGCGTTTGTGGGATTTTGGCTGTATCTTTTATCATTAATTTCTAATTTCATAGTGCTATGATCTGATAATTTGCAAGGGATATTTTCAACTCGTTTGCATTGATTTAAATATGTTCCGTGAGTTAATATATGGTCTGTTTTAGAGAATGCCCCATGTATTGCTGGGAAGAATGTGTCTTCTGATGTTGGATGGAATACGCTGTATATGTCTATCAAGCCCATTTGTTCACAGGTGTGATTCAGTTCTGTTATTTCTTTGTTGATTTTCTGTCTGGTTGATCTCTCCCTTTGTGTCAATGGTGTTTTAAGGTCTCCTGTTATAATTGTGTTACTGATAATTTGATTTTTAATTTCTATTAATATTTGTTTTATATAACTGGGTGCTCTGGAATTTGGTGCATACATATTTATGGTAGTTATCGCTTTCACCTAACCAGCATGTAGTGACCTTCTTTATCTCTTCTCATCATTACTCATTTAAAGTTCACATTGTCTGCAAACAGAATTGTATTCCCACTTTTTTGGGGGACTCCTGTTGCATGAAGTATTGTTTTACATCCTTTGACTTTCAGTCTGTGAGTATCCTTTTGGATTAGATGTGTTTCTTATAGACAGCATATGGTTGAATTTTGTTTCTTGATCCATTCTGCAAGTCTGTTTCTTTTAATTGGTGCATTAAGACCATTTACGTTAATGTTCATAACTGTTATATGTTGGTTTATTGTTGATATGTTATCTTTCTGCTGTTGCATCTGTATCTTCTGTTGTGTTTATTGTATGCTTTGCTTAGTGGTTTTTTCCTAAGTGTATCTAAACTGTCTTTCAGTATTCTGGCAGAGTTGACTTGGTGATCATAAAGTTCTTCACCTGTTCTTTGTCATGGAATTATCTTACTTACACATCAATTTTGAAGAACAGTGTTGCAGGGTACATCCATCTAGATTGGAACTCATTTTCCTTTAGAATCTGAAATACTTCACCCCATGCACTTCTTGACTTTATGGTGCTGAGAAGTCTGCTGTAATTCTGGTAAGTTTTTCATTATAAGAGATCTCTCTTTTCTCTATGACAGCTTTTAATATTCCATTCTTATGTTGGATTTCTGGGATATTGATTTTTATGTTTTGGTGTAGTTTTA